TATGGGCATATTTTGAAATAAATTCATATAATCAGAATATAAAAAATAATTTAGGTTTTAAATATTACTTCTTTAACAGCTGAACTTCAAGAAATGAGCAAAAAGACCTTGATCCTAACTCCTCACTGTGTGACCTTAGATAAATAACTAAACATGCCTTATTACTTTTAATTTCTAAACTGTCAAGTGGTTTGTGATGAAAGAGCACCAACTAAAATAATCACAAACTTGCTGTTCTAATAAATAACTGGCACATGATAGAAAAAAATAGTTTTAAGAATATTGTTATATACCATCCTAAGACAATATGCTCTTGGTTGCTCAAAATCTACATGAATCATTTTTGATAACTGAAAAATAAATATTTCAGTGCTTAAGTACAAATATTAAATATTTACATGAACTACACGTCTCCCTGTATTTTTTTTTTAAATTTTTTTCAGGATGTATTTATTTGAAAGCTTGAGTAAGAGAGAGAGAGGGAGACAAAGAAATCTTCTGTCTAATGATTCACTCCACATATGAGTTCAACAGCTGGGATGGGGCCAGTCTAAAGCTGGGGACCAGGAACTTCATCAGGTCTCTCATGCGGATGGCAGAGACTCCAGTAACTTAGTAACTAGGCCTTCCTCTGTCTTCCCAGGTTCATTAGCAAGAAATTATGTAAGAACTGGAGCAATTGGGACTTGAACCAGCACTCCGATATGGGATGCAACTGTCACAAACAATTGCTCAGCCCGCTGCACCACAATGCTAGTCTCCATCAATCAGTTTCAACGGTTCTGTTAAGACAGGTAATGAGAACTTTCTTCAGTCTTCTGAATCCTATAAAAGAGAATTGTGGGGCCAGCATTTGTTGCTTTGGATGCACACACTGTATTTCAGAGTGCCTGGTTTCAGTCACTGTTCCTTTGTTTCTGATTCAGCTCCCTGATAATGTGCGTGCACCCTTGAAGGCAGCAGATGATGGCCCAAGTACTCGGGTTCCTGCCACCCATGTGGGAGACTCAGATGGAATTCCTGGCTCCTGACTTAAGACTGGCCCAACTCTGGCTGTTGTGGGTGTCTGGGGAGTGAACCAGCAGACAGTGGATTTCTCTTTCGCGTGCGCGCGCGTGCAAATAAAAAAAAAAAATCTAAGAGAATGGAAATTTGCACAACATCCACTGAGTATTTGTTAACTGAGAGATAACAACCTCAGATATGTGCATACTTTCAATCTCTCCATCCTTTACTCTAAAAACTTTTGTTGGGCTCTGTCGCTCCCCCTCTTCGCGGAGGAACGACACTAGACCCTGCCTAGGTTTCCTATCTGAGTCACGGCACCATTATGTCTCCTAGGCTTCCTATCCAAGTCACGGCACCATTATGTCGCTCCCCCTCTTCGTGGAGGAACGACACAGGACCCTGCGCTGTTCTTTTGTCTGCTCGGCCCTCCCCGGGTTTGCTGCTGGTTCTTCCCGGGTTGGCTACTGACCCTTCCACCTCCGTGGAAGGGCGGTTCCCCCTGCCACTTTCCCCACTTCCGCGGGGGAGCGGCACACCGCCGGCTGGCTCTCTCGGGGGCTGCACAGGTGTTCCTTCAGATAGATGTTCCTGGTGCATGCCGTCTCTCTCTTTTATAGTCCTCCTCCGCCAATCCCAACTCTGCTACCCACACGCCGAGTACGCTGCTCTCCTCCAATCAGGAGCAGGATCAGCTCCTGCAGGTCATCACTCAAGTTGGCGAGAGACAGCTGCGTAGAAGCTGTTTACTCCTCTCCCAGCACCATATTGTGGGAGAGCAGATGCATAGAATAAGTCTTAATTCAAGTAACTTAGTCTAGTCCGAGTTGCTCCCCACAGGGCTCAGCTTTGTATATACTACAAAGTGAAGCTGCCACCTGTGATGCTGGCATTCCATATGGGCACCAGTTCTGAGTCCTGGCTGCTCCACTTCCAACCCAGCTCCCTGCTAACAGCCTGGGGAACGCAGCAGCAGATGTCCCAAGTATTTGAGCCCCTGCACCCACACGAGAGACCTGGATAAAGTTCCTAGCTCCTGACTTCAGCTTGACTCAGCTCTGGACATGGTGGCCATCTGGAGAACGAACCAGTGTGTGGAAGAGCTCTCTCTCTGTCTCTTTCTCTCTGTGTCTCTCCCTCTTTTTCTGTAACAGTGGCTTTCAAATAATAAATAAACCTTTTAAAAAAAACTTTTGTCACCATGAGGATAATGATATTGTAATTTCCAAAGAACTATGTTAATGATACCATTTGCAAGACAGATAACAATGATAAATTTGTGGGTTCAAGAGGCAAAAAAAGCTGTAAGTTTCAGGCTTAAGAAACACTGTCAGTTAAAAAAATTTTATAAGGACTTTAAAATATTCAGGATTCCTCAATGAAAGACTGCCTATGTATACTATAATACTGTACTACATGTGGTAAAGTCTTTAAACCATTCTTCTTATCTGTTTTTCAAAATTTAGCTCTTCTTATGAATTTTAACCACAGGAAAAAGAAATCACTTTCCTAGCTATTCCCTATAGTTGTCTAATGTTGAGCAAAATATTAAAAGACTCTTACATAAATTATATAAAATATAAAACTGGTGCACATGTTCACCAAACATCATCAAAAAGCCCAGGTAAAAATTATAAAGCACCATGAGGTAATTTTTATACCTGGCTATAAAGAAATAGCCAGTAATTGTTAAAAACAATCACTCTTAAATTTTCTGAGTTCCTGTGTTTAACAGTGAACTAATAAATTTGGGTATGATTTTTTCAATATATTAGTCATTTATAATCATTATTTTAAACTGAACTGTAAAAGGAAATATGAAGTACACATGAACATTAAGTCCCCTTATAAAGTCCCAGTAGGATTGTTGGTTTTACATCTTCCATGTGTAAGACTCAGTACTGGGCACTCAAAGGTATTTTAAAGTGAATAATCAGCCTCTAACCCTTTGAGAACATAAATCTTCAAATGCCATGGAAAAAGTTAATATAGAACAGGTTACTCATATCTACTACAAAAACAAGGGGTTAAAGACATAAAGTCATACAAATAAAGAATATAAATTATAGAATACTTTGGTATTATTGTTGGTTCTGTAAGTACACATGACGGTAGCGTGACAATATCAGCATGTGCCTTTAGGGTATCATATAGGCAAAACAGTAATGAAGCAGTTAAAATAGATCAAATAGCTTGCACAATGTTTATCCTAATCTGTAGAGAGCCTAACAGAATTTAGAGTTCAATAACATATCAAGTGAGGCCGTGCCAACAAAATTCAAAAATATTTCCTTCTGACCATGCTATTGATCTATTCTGGAGTGTGACTGACGGGAATACTTTAACGTTTTCATAGATAATGTAATTACAATGCTCTCTCTATCCATAAAAATGATTTAACCTTCTTAAAAAACTATACTTACTGTGCCATTTGCTTCAACGATAGCCAGCCCCAATGATTTCTATAGTTAATTGTATGTGCCATAAAAAATTACTTCTATGTAACTGTTTGGGCCATGATACTTGATTTCTTTGGATGTTTTTCTCATCTGGAATATAAAGACTGGTAAAGAAACCAACAGGATTATATTTTTCTTTACCAACTTTGTCCATATAGAACATATTCTTCATTTATGCCTTATCTTTTAATAATGATTATAATACAGCATTGCTCTTGGTGATCAATGCTCTGCTTCTTAATGATCTCATTTCCCACTTTCATAAGGCACACAGGACCTTCAGCAAAATGCTTCTCAAAGAATTTGCTGTCTAATATTTAGCAAAGTTGAAATGCTGTGGCTGGAATAGGAATGTTAGCAGAGGAGAGACTGGAACAGATAACCCTATGCTGAGGTGACATAAAAACAATGGACATGGCCTCCCTGTCACAGCCTGAGCCTAACTTAGGTTCACATTGTGTTGCAAACCACCTAAAGAAGAGATGAATTGTCTCCCCAGACTTTCTGGTTCATAAATTTCCTGTAGAAAGGAAGTAATTGTTTTTGTTTAAAGGAAACATCCTGGGTTAAATTAAGCAAAAGCCCCATTTTCTGTCAACAGAAGACAAAGCAGAGGTAAAAAGGTCAATAAATATCGGAAAGCAAGAAACTAACCAGTATTTATCAGATTCCTTGTATACATAAGTATTGAGGACAGCAGGAAAACAAAATACCCGAATGTCTGAGATAATTTTCTCTTTTTGTTCAACTGTTTTATATTTTGCACAGGCTTGATACTGAAACACATCACTAAATGCGTAATAAATATAAATGCCTCCCTTGTAGAGATCAAAGTTGATAAATGATATCTAATTCAAAGAGAAGTATGAAAGATCTGGGGCAATCATCTGATATGTCCAGGAGGCCAAACCGAACTGTCCTACTAAATTGTCTAAGAGATTGGGCAAGGATCCTCCAAGTCCATTAAGAAGTGAGGCATTTCTGTGTTCTCAATATCCTAACAATCACAAGTTTCCTCATTTAATCACACACGGCCCCAAAAAAACCCTTCCTGCTCTACATGGATTTTCTTCATTGCCGCTATGGAACATTTTGTGGAATTGGTCATAAAAATATAAATGTGAACCATAATAACCTCTTGAAACTGGACTATGCCATAATTTCTTAGAAAGGGAGAAAATAATATTTCCCCCAGGTCTTTTCTATTAGTAATATCACAGTGGTTAATTTCATGGTGTTAACTTGGTGTTAACCAATATCTAAAAACTTGAAGTAGTATTATCTTGGGTATCTCTGTGAGGGTATTTCTAAATGAAATTACATGTAAATTTGAGTGGTTAGGTGGGAAGATCCAGTCTCAAGGTGGGTGGGCACAGCCAACTGGTGGAGATGCAGAGAGAATAAATACAGATGGAAACTTGGTCTCTTATTCTGAGATCTGGGACATGCTGGACTTTGGCCTTGCACATCACCTACTGGCCTTTGGACTCCAGGACTTAAACTAGTGACCCTGTTGCTGGCACTCAGCATTTTGGCCAGGAACTAAGAGTTACACCCTTTGCTTTTCTGATCCTGAAGCTCTCAGACTTAGAATGAGCCACGCTACTGTCATCCTATGGTCTACAGTCTAGAGATGACCTCTTGCAGAACATGTCTGCTTCCAGAATAAGGTGAGCCAATTATCATAACAAATACCATTTTGTGTAATCTTTACATATCCTATTCTGTCTCTCTGGAGTACCCTGACTCACACAAATTTTAACAGAATTATTTTCATTATAAAATACTGAAAGTAAAAAGTGCATCATTTGTAGTCATTTTCATTTCAACCTTATGACAAATTTATTTCAAAGATTTGGAGTAAGGAATAGATTAAGTAATCCATAATAAAATCATAGAAGTTTTAGTACATCATAATTATTCAAATAAGTGATTTACCCACATTATTGTTATTTTATAGAAAGCAATATCATCTTTAAGAGCACAGTTTGCTTTGGGCCGTCTGCAGTTTGCACAACATTACATAAGACAGAGGGGTAAGTGATGGCACTGATTAATATGTATGTACAAAATATACTCATCAACTCATTAGGTGATTATGCACTGAATACCTCCTACACCAGTACACCAGTACCTCCTACACCAGGTCTTGTGACACGTGCAGGAACACAGAGATGCAGAACCTAACATCCCACTTGAGAAGCTGTTTAGCGGGTATATGTTATATAGGAATACTACAAATAATAGACAGATGTAATATATTATGTGCAACAAAAAATTATGCACAGAAGGTTCAGAGCAAAGTCTAGGAAGGGGTAAGGAAGATGACAGAAGACTACAAAGTAAGATTTTTATGCTTATCAGCAGCATTCTCACAATAGCATACATTCTTTTCAAGTATGACCAATCTTCAAAAAGTTCATGGAAATGTGTAAGATGGAAAAAAACTACACGTGGATTCCAAAAAATTTTGCAGCAAAATAAACCTATCTTTAATTCTATTCTTCCACAAACTTTTTGAACTCCCCTTGTATATATGTACACACACTGTCACTGTGGCAATAAGTATGCAGAGTCTTTGCACATAGAGCCTTAAAGGATGTTTTTAGCTCCACCTGATACTCTAAATGTTTGGTTCAAAAATTTGAGTCATGTTTTAATCCACTGAGTTAAAATACTCTTTTATCTCCAAATACAAACTAGTATTAGTCTTTAAGGATCTTGCTGTCTTCAATAGGTTTCATTCATCAGACAGATCTTGTGATGCAGAGGTTGTGGTGCTGCTTCGGATGCTGCATCCCATGATGGGGCCTCTATTTCTAGTCCTCGCTACTCTGCTTCAAGGCATCTTTCAGCTTATGCACTCTCTGGGAGGCAGCAGGTAATGGGTCCCTGCAACACCCACTTGGGATGGAGCTCTGGGCTCCTGCCTCTAACCTTGACCACCCCAGGCTGTTGCAGGTGTGTGAGGTGTAAACCAACAGATAGAAGGTCTCTGTCTCTCTTTCTATTTCTCTCCATCTCACCTCTCTATCCCCTCATCGTCTTTCAAACAATACAACTTTAAACAAAAAAGGAAACTTTCTTAAAGATATAGACAAAGGTACTTCTGCTGAATTGAATGTGTGAGTTCTTTCCCATGACTCTTTGCACATTGAAACACGTGTGGCCCACCCATTGTGCAGAAATCAGTGTGTATGGTTTCTTACAGAGCCCCGGTCTATGGCGGCAGCTCCCCAGGTGTGCTTCCGGGGTGAGGTGACAAAATGCTCCGGGCAGGCATGTCACCTTCGCCTTCAGGACAGCTTTTTTTTCTCCAGCCAGCAAGCTGCATACATCCCCCCTGTGTTGGTTTACTCCATAGATATTCTGTGTCTCCTGTCACTCTGGCTGTTTGGGTTTTGTTGTGTGCATTCAAGGGAGGCTTGCGGTTCCGTCTACCCCGAGCGTCTGTGTTTCCAGTTCCGCGGTTTGCCCCCTCTGTCTCTCATCATTGCTCTTGGCTCAGTCCCTTGACAGGAAATGAGAGATTTATTTTATCTGGCTTGAACTACATTGTTCCTTCCTGACTACTGGTGTTACTTCACTCTAAATAACATGACTTTGTGCTCACAGTCTGCCCAAGGTCAAAGCCTGAGGGTAATAGACACATTTAAGAGAGGGGAGGAGTAGGCTAGTGGAGGAGGGAGGAAAAAAAATGAAAATAGTGATGTAAAAGTTAAACTTGCAGCAGGTCTGAATTTTCTGGCGGGTTTGAAATGGAATATGTTCTGTAGAGCTGAACAAGAACTTTTTTCCCCCCTACCAGATGTTATCAATTTAAAATGACACTGTGAACTAATCTAGGCTTGAGATTGAAATTTAGTTCAGAAAAGCAAGCAGGAGGTATCTGGGAGAAAGGTTTACAAAGCTTCTTCGCATCATTGGTATCACAATTACAGTGCTCTTCTGCTACGCTTCTTTGTTTTGACATAAAAATATAAAACAATGACAGCAGTGAGGATAATTAATCATTAAAAAGTAAAACTTAACCAGTGCGACCTAACCTTGAAACCTGGAGCCATTGAAAAAAGTTTAAAGATTTTCATGTGAATTTGAGTAAAAACAAGAACTTTTCCGAACCACATCTCCTAATCGTTTTTTCTTCCCTTTGGGGGTGTGAATAAAACTTGCTTGTTTCCTTCAAACACCTCTAAAGTTTCAAAGAGCCAGCGGGATGCCCACCCAAACCCACAGCAAAAGAAAACAGCTCTGTTTTCTGTGTCACCGGTCATCCAGTGGGTCCTGGCCCACAGACCTGGGGTAGTTTAAAAGACTGGAGGGCAGGGCAGACACTGATGAATCTAACTGGATATTCTGTTCTTTCAACAGATAGTCATGCTATTTAATACTACTTCTGCTTCAGGAAAATGAATTTAATGGAAATGGACATTAAGTGAAGTAAAAAGAACTTAGGTTATTCATAAAGCCAGAGTTTGCACACAGAGATTATTTCACATGGGTTTTCTACTCCTACAGAAGATGAGAAAATTCCCTATGCGGACGATCTTTCAACACTCACGTCATCCTCTGTGCTGCAGGCGCTGTGTATTCTGAAGTCAGAGGACTTTCCCAATGACATCCTAAAGACTTCACAGGCTATGACTTCAGACTCCTCCTTTACAAAGCCCGACCCATATTTCTGGCACTGAGTGAGCGTCACCAAGCTGGAACAGCCAGGGCTCATTGTCAGTAAATCACCCATTTTTTTTTCTTAAAGATTTACGTATTTATTTGAATGTCAGCATTAGAAAGAGAGAGAGAGAGAGAGAGAGAGAGAGAGAGAACTCTTTCGTCTGCTGGGTTACTCCTCAAATGGTCGCAAAGACCAGGCTGGGCCAGTCTGAAGCTAGGAGCCCAAAGCTTCTTCCTTGTCTCCCATGTAGGTCAAGGGGCCCAAGCACTTGGGCCATCCTCTGCTCTTTTCCCAGGTGCATTAGCAGGGAGCTTGATTGGAAGTGAAGCAGCCAGGACTCAAACCATCACCCATCCGGCATGCCAGCACCATAGACAGTAGCTTAACCCACCACATCACAGTGTCTGCCCCTCACTTCTTTCTTTACCCAAATACTTCAGTGTGAAATATTCTGCAACTACAAAATATTCCTCAAAATCGTGTTTCCTTTATGTGCCATTTTCTTATGAGATGATCCACCTGAAGGAGGAACCTCATATACTAAGCCATGATTGACACCTTTACATAACAATTCAAATAGAGTCTCACTTTTTAATATGGTTATTGAAAAGCAAAGCAAACTGTAATGTTTTCTGATTATTAAATTCTACATATAGTCCTAAAAAGTAAACATTAAAGCTGATCATTTTGTCTAAATCCAGCAGCCTGTACATCAGCCAAGAAGGTCCTCACATGAATACCGCCATCATCCCACAAGCTTTTGGACAAGCCAGTCCCTGTATCTCAGGTACTCATGAGGAAAAAGTGAAGAAACAAGGAGAAATGATGTTTATTATAAAGTTACTATGCTATCAGCACTCTGCAGCAGCTTTGCTATACACATCATTCCATTTCATGCACACAAACTTCAGGTAAAAATCACTTACTATCTTCACTTTACAGATGATGGAATGAAATTTCAGAGATATTAAATAATATGCCCAAGATCACAAAGTTCCTAAGTGGTGAATTTGGGATTGGAATTTAGGGATATCTCATCTCAAACCTATGCCCATTGACTAGTCTTGAATAGGAATTGTAAATGAGATATTACAGCAAGTTAGCACGTCTAGATTCCAACTCTGTTCCGCATTTGTACAAAATACAGTCACACTTGCATAAGTGGTTCAGTGGTAGAATTCTCAAAACTAAGAGTCACAAATAAAAGCAGCTCATGTTCATCTAAGTGCTTAACGAAGAACTATCAAATGACCCAGTAATCCCAGTCCTAGAAACATACATGCTCAAGAGAAAAGTAAATATTTGTCCACACAAAATCTGATAAATTAAGTGTTCAAAACCACATTATCTATAACAGCCAAAAAAAGAGGAAACAACCCAGATGTCTATCAACCAATCAATAGATAAATAAAATCTGGTATACCCACCTATACAATGGAATATTATTTGGCAAAGAAAAGGCACTGAAGGAATGACGGGTGGCCAATGACAGAAGTCAGTGACAAAAGATTACATATTATATAATGCCACAGATTTGAGTAGATTCAAAGCTACCTACCATTGTTGGGAATGGGAGAAATAAGAAATAACGGAGATTTGGAATGACACTTCTTTTTGGGATGGTGATAATGGTCTACAGTTGATTATAGTGATGTTTGCATTATTGTGTAAACATACTGAAAAAACAACAGTCTACACTTTAATTTTATACAATGAATCCTCAATATAAATCCTATCCTGGGAAAGCTCTTAAAAAAATAAAAAAGCAAATACATAAAATCTCTGTCTGCTTACTATCAGGAAAAGACAGCACATGCCCTATGGAGAGAAATTACTCAACATATTAGCAGCACAACAGCACAAAGGAGAAAGTTTTCTTCTATCATTTCTCCCCAGCAAAGCTCTAGTGTTCTTCTAGATCCAGGTGGTCCCTCTCTGGCCAATGATGTTTCAAGACCAGGGTTGTAAAAAAAAAAAAAAAAAGAAAAGAAAAGAAAGAAAGAAAAAGTTAGATCCACAAACTGGTCATTTATTTACCCAGTGCTAAACCACATGTTTGACATTTCCCATCTACACTGATGGGTGGTGACTGGAGTACTGCACAGACACCCACACAGGGAGAGTATTATTTTTAAAAATACGCAGTTCTCTGAGCATTTAGAGAGAATTCCTTGCTGCAACCCACATTCAGTGCTTCATGTTCTGACGTGAATGAAGTTGCCCAACTGGCAAATTTGTCCATTTAATTTTTAGTCCTAAAGCCCATCATCAGATGACAGGAAAACATCATGTTGTGGCAAAGCATCAGTAGGTAGTAATCAGATGTCCCGGGATGTTGACATTGCCCAACCCTCCAGGGATTTTTTTTTTTTTTTAAGGGAGAATCCTAGAAATACCAAACCACAGAATACTATGTTTGTGAAGGATCAGCTCTCTGGGGATAATTACACAATTTTATCCCAATAATCTTTAGATGTTTATACCTTAAAAGTTACTCAGTTGAAGTTGCTTTCCAATTAAACACCAGTGCTACAGTGTTTCTGTTGTGATGGTTGGAGGGAAGTGGAGCCAGTGCAATTTGTCCATGTTTTACAAATCACCATCTGGCAGGGATATGGCAACATGTGAAATCTTCACAGGACTCTTGTTTTTCTACTATCTGCTGGATAACTAAGGAGATCACCAGACTGCTGGGACGCCTGCCAGATGGTAAGCAGGTATGTTTATGAGTTGAAGATTCTTATTTTCTTTCAATGCTTTCACATGCTGTGTGTGCAGAGGCACAAAAATGAAAGGGAAAAGAGAAAGAGAATGGAGAAGTGAGTGCCTGTGTCCCATCACTGCAAATGCCTCTGACATTTCTTGAACTGTGGAGTTCTTCCTGTGCCCACAATTGTAATTTTCTACCAAGGTAGGAAAATCACCAGTCAGATTGCCACAAGATTTTTTCTAATATTACAATACTTTTACATTTTTGTGCCAATATGTACTTGCATGGTTTCTTCAGTAATACTGAGTAGAAACATGTTACTCAGAGGATTTTAAGCTTCATCAACAAGTGTTTCATGAACGTAAGCATGGTGTAGATTAAGCAGGCTAGCCAAGTTAACAAGTGTTTCATGAACGTAAGCATGGTGTAGATTAAGCAGGCTAGCCAGTTCATGAACTCAGAGTTGTTTCTAGTTTATTTTGATTATTCAAATAAACTATAGTAGGAAAGAACATGCAATAGAATCACAACCAAAAAAAAAAAAAATCCAGCAATCAAACAGTCATAGAACTGAAGCTTAGAAGTAAGTAGTCTTCATCATACTGTCTTCTGTACAAACAAATAAGGCATCCTAAACACTTGACAGACAATAAGTGAGTATCACCAAAGAGGTAGTTCTAGTAGATAGAAAGGAACAGTTCTCTGGAGCCAGGTTTGAACGGCTGCTCCACAATATACAAGTGAAGTGAATGAAATTTTCTGAGCTTCAATAAACTCATCTATAAAATGGTGATACCATTTTCTGATCGATTATTGTAAGGTTAGAAATTCAAGAAATGCAAATTGTCTAGGAAGTGCACAGTTGCTCAATAAATGAAGCTCTTATCATCATCATTACTGTCATATTGAGAAGGCTCCTTCTAGATTAAAACTGCAGTGCAGAATTTGCTCATGTAAATATTAAGTAAAATCTTATAGATCTGTGTATTTAGATATACATAAGGTCTACAAGGTATCTTCAAAAAGTTCATGGAAAATGCATCTAATGAACCAATCATGCATGGATTTCAAATTATTTTGCACCAAAATAAGATCATACTTTGATTCCATTTTTCATGAACTTTGTGAAGTCTCCTCATATATGCAGGTGTGCAGCTTCTACAAATATTCAGCTAGCTACGTATGCGTGCAGAAACATCGACAGAGTCTCCAAACACAGGAAACAAAAATATGCCATCTTACAGCTCTGCAGTCATATTGGCTTAAAACTAATACATTTCAGTCTCCAGAAGTGGTATTTTGCACCAACTATCCAACCTGTGTCTAAGCTATAGAACTAAGAGAAAAAAAACCCACTTCAGAGGGTTGTTATGGGGATTAAGTGGGATTATTTCCACATGAAACAATGCGCAATGCTCAACAGAGATTTCAAGAATAAATATTTGCTACTGTTTCCCTCCCCTTTACTTGCTCGTTTCCCTTCACATTTCTGCCCTTCTTCACCTCCTTCTCTCATGTTTAGGGAGAGATGGCATTGCTTCTTTAAAAAGATTTATTTATTTGAAAGTCAGTTACAGACAGTCAGAGGGAGAGACAGAGAGCAAGGTCTTCTTCCGTTGGATCACTCCCCAAGTGGCCACAATGGCCGGAGCTGTGCCAATCCGAAGCCAGGAGCCAGGAACTTCTTCTGGGTCTCCCACGTGGGTATAGGAGCCCAAGCACTTGACAGGCCATAGCAGAGAGCAGGGCTGGAAGAGGAGCAACCGAGACCAGAACCAGCACCCATATGGGATGCTGGTGCTGCAGTAGGAGGATTAACCTATTGTGCCATGGCGCCAGCCCCCCACTCACATTCTTAATTCCATCACTCACTTCAGCATAGGAACTTTCTCCCTAATTGTCTGGTTCCTCTGTGTATTGTCATCATTAATTTCATCTCACCCATTAGTTCCTTATTTTTTGCCTAAAATATTTTTGCCACATCCTAGTTACACTATTCTTAAAAATCAATTATCAGACTTAACAGAAAAGTACAAACCCTGAATAGGCCAATGATTAGTGAGATTGTTACACATTCACTTTTTAAAAATGTGAGAGGTAGGCTTTTCCTCCTGCCCCAGGTAGTTTTTTATTTGGTTCTAATAAAACTGACTAGAACGGAATATTTCTTTCTTATTTAAACAAATAGTCTCAAAACCTTAAAATGATTCAATGACTCAACTCTTTTATAAGGACATTACAACCCTGATAGCAACCCACAACCAGGTTAGTACAGTACATATACGCAAACACACACATGACATACCACACTTGGCTAAAAATAAAGAAACACAATCCAGGGGCGAGGCAAGTGTTGTGGCAAAGAGGATTAAGCCTCTGTTGTGACACCAGTGTCCCAAATCACAGTACCAGTTCAAGTCCCGGCTATTCTACTTCTGAGCCAGCTTCCTGCTAATGTTCCCAAGAAAGCAGCAGCAGACGGCCTAAATGGTTGGGTCCCTGCCACTCAAATGGGAAGCCTGAATAGAGTTCCTGGTTCCTGGCCTTGGTCTTGGCCAGATCTGGCTGTGGTGGCCATTTGAGGAGTGAACCAGCATGGATAAAAGATCTGTCTACCTCCCTCTCCCTGTGTTGCTCTACCTCTCAAACAAATTAATTGGGGGTAGGGAGAAGCATAATCCTAGCTTGTAAAAAATGCAAGTAGACTTTGAGAGTAAGAGGAAGAAAACACATCCTAACTATATGGTTCCCCTTCCAAGAATGGAGCCATACAAAGTTAGCTCACGCTTAACATTTAAGATGGTAGAATAGAGGCCAGCGCTGTGGTGTAGCAGGTAAAGCTGCCGCCTTCTGTGCCGGCATCCCATATGGGCAGTGGTTCACGTTCCAGCTGCTCCACTTCCAATCCAGCTCTTGGCTGTGGCCTGGGAAAGCAGAATGGCCCAAGTCCTTGGGTCCCTGTACCCACGTGGAAGACCTGGAAAAAGCTCCTGACTCCTGGCTTTGGATCAGAGCAGCTCCGGCTGTTGCAGCCAACTGGGGGGAGCAAACCAGCAGATGGAAGACCTATCTCTCTCTGCCTCTCCTTCACTCTCTGTGTAACTATGACTTTCCAATAAATAAATAAATATTTAAAAAGATGGTAAACTAAAAGAAAATCCATAAGCACATTGTTAAACGTCTTTAAAAACATCTTTTAAAAATTCCAGATCTGTTTGATGTAAGTTAGGAAGAAAACTGCCTTCTAAGGGAAACAATTTTTCATTATCACAGAATAAAAACAACAGCGGTCAAATCGCCACATTCTCCTGTTGACCCAGATCCCCTTATTTTAGCTTGTTCTCCTCGCCAGTGACCACACTGCTTCACCTGGGCCATGCCATTATCCCCTACATACATTTCAATCCACTCCAGGTTTCTCTGGCTCCTGCCTTTCCCTCGTGCTCTTTTCTCTGAAACCATCAGCAGCCACTTCAGCCCCAGGTCCAGGGGCCTGTTCTCTAGCCTCATCCTTCTTAGCCTCTCCTCAGCCTTTGAACCTTCCACAGGTGAGACACAGCTCGGCTTCCTAAGCTGCTGCCGGCCTCTTGGCTTGGCCTTCCTCAGCCTCTCCACTGACTCCTCTTCTTCTACCTGTTCTTTAAATATCAACAATTCCAAAATCTACCATTTGCATCTTTTCTTCATGCCCTGCACAGAAAATTTAAGTGCAAGTAAAATGGGAATCAGAGAACCAGGAAACTATTACTGAAACCAAATAAACAAAAGAGGTTATAAACCAAAAATTTTCATGTCTCTCAAGTTCTCTAGTTAAAGAAATAAGATTTAAAAAAAAAATACTGCTATGGGGCCGGCACTGTGGCACAGTGGGTTAAAGCCTTGGTCTGCAGCACTGGCATCCCATATGGATGATGGTTCTAGTCCTGGCTGCTCCTCTTCTGATCCAGCTCTCTGCTGTGGGCTGGCAGAGCAGTGGAAGATGGCTCAAGTCCTTGGGCCCCTGTATCCACATGGGAGACCCAGAAGAAGCTCCTGGATCCTGACTTCGGATCCACTCTGGCTATTGTGGCCATTTGGAGAGTGAACAAGAGGATGGAAGACCTTTCTCTTTCTCTCTCTCTCTGCCTCTACCTCACTCTGTAACTCTTTCAAACAAATAAATCTAAAAAAATTTATATAATTATTTTTGCATAAATTACCTTCAAAATGCTTCAACAGTTTTTACTATTTGATT